TTCAAATTTCCTAGAGAGTTTTATATCTGGAGCGAGTAGGCAGAGTTTTCAAAAAAGAAAGCAGGGCTAGCGAAAGACGCAGATTGCTTTCATTAGGTTTACAATAAACACTACTAAGATGACGATATACTTTAAAAAAATGAAGACAAAAAATAAAGATAAGCGAGACTGCTATATACTACTATTCCGTAGTGAAGGTGAGAAGTGGAAGTGTTTTAAGACTTGAGATGGATTTTCTTGAGATGAGAGACGATGTAATAATAATAAAGTCAATTAGGTACATCGCGATCACGAATTAAAGTTCTTTAGTTGGTAAAAAAGTTATGTAGGCAAAATTATTACTGATTCATCAATATAACGTTTTACAGAGATGAGAAACAGGGTCATCTCTACTTTAACGAACCGCCCAACGAGTGAGTATACGGTCAAAAAAATTGGAGATTTATTATTAATATCATAACATATATTGAATGCGTAAAAGGATAAAAGAATGAATGCAAAATGGAAGTAAATTACATCGAAAAATATTGAAAAGAAAGAAATAACAGAAATTTACAACATTTGCTATGGCAATTTAAACTGAATGACTTAACCGTAAGGAATTGTTGTTATTGTTATTGTTATTGTTGCTATTGTTGACTTTTTGTATTAGGATTCTGTATGACTTTCCGTAAGTTTGATTTGTTATCAATTCGTTGTAAATTTCGTTCATTAAAACGCTGTAATCCTCTTCTTCCGATTCCAAGGAATTTCCCATTTTTTTTCGTAAGGATATGAGGATTTCTTGAGCTAAATATAAGAAGATAAGTGAATTGTAAATATCAAAATTAACATTTATTAATTATAATGAATTTACCAATATTTATAGTCTTCCCGGTTTCTTCATGTTTGTATGGATACCACGCATTATCTTTCTCTTCAATGAATACCACTGATTTATTTTTGTAACAACTATACAATAAATCAACCACTTGCTTTAGAGTAATATCATAATTAAGATTAGGTTCAAATATTTTTAAATCTGTAGTTTTACAAGTGGTAAAACGTTAGTAAAATTATAAATAATACAATACATATATTAAAGTTAACTTTTTCCTGTTTGATTCCGTGTTTTGTAGAAAGTGCTTTTTTTGGAAAAATGCTTTTAGCGTACATGTGGTGAATCCCTTGAACGTCTTCATGGCGTGTACGGTGAAATCCGTAGTCTATCTTCATACAGGAAATTCCTTGAACGTAGCTGGAAACTGAACCGGTGTTCCGTTAATATTAGGTATATTCACCATGAAAATTCCTTTCGGGAAGTATCTTCTACAGCATCATCCGTCGTCTTCAATCGTCACCTCGTTGGGTTGCCAGGCCATGCTTT